GTTTTCCTCATTTACAAATAGAACAGATATTGCCCCACTACCTTAAAGCAACACCTAGATAAGGTATTTCCCTTTGTTCATCAAGTTTATTACAATTAAAAGTATTTTATGATACTGACTAGGCATCTTGCTTGACTCCAAAAAATTTACTCTAGGTATTATTATTATTATTATTTTTAGATTATATGATCTCCTATAGAGCCAAAAAACAGTCTATAATTTCCAATTCTTCTATAGAATTTGAATATTATGTCTTAACTTTAACAACTAATGAGTTGCTCTTGATTAAATAATTGCTTCACAATTTGTGTTGATGTTTCACAGCTTGCATTGACTTTTATGACAGTCAAACAATGGTATTTAGAGCTTCTACACATTGGAGTTGATCACCACATTGGAGTTTTTGTACACATTAAACACATTGGAGTTGATCATCACTTTATTTGAGATTAGATTCTCACATCAAGTTTCTTCCATTTGGTCTCACCACTAACTTGCATATATCTTAATTAAAGCCTTATCTTCTTATGATATGCTTCTTCTACGTCTAAGATGGTGGTTAGAAATATATTTACACCATCTTGAGGGAAAGTATTATAAGTGTACAATAAATGGTTGTTATTTTTTTCTTTTTATTTTAATTAGTTAATTAGTTTACCTCTGTCATTAGCCTTGATGATATATCTATAATAAAGATGAAATTTTCTTAACTCATTAGTTTAAACGGACATAAACCAACAAATAACCATCTCCTAGATTGTCAAAATTTAACACTAAAGAAGAAAAAAGAAATAAAACAAGGGGCTATAATAAACAAAAAACAATAGAGTAACCACAACAAAATATACCTATAATAAAGAAAAAAGAGAGCAAATGCAACCAATGATAACTTAGAAACCTGACCACAAAAAGTTGTCACTGAAGAAAAAAATCATATAGAGAAAACTCTTTAGGAATAAGGAGCCAATATCAATTAGCGAAAATTGAACACAATTTATAATAGATATTGTAAAATCTAAAACTTTTTCCTTTTGAATAATGGAAATTTTCTAAACTAAAATAAAAACAAACTTCAAATATGAAACAGAGGATGGAAGAGTTTTTGTCATAGCTACAAAGCTGAAAATGCTTAGTGACGCTTAAGTGTGAAGATGAAGATGGATGAAGGAGGTTATAACCCTAAAAAGTTGAAGATGCTCATTGATGTAGAGCTTAGGATCAACCAAAGTGATTAAAAAACTCCACATATATTTAGCATAAAAAAACTTAAATCCCTAAATAAATTTTCATATTTAACTCACAATCAACCTGTAATTGAGAACTAAGATAATTAGAATAACTGAATTGATTAGAACCCTACAAGAAAAATCTTGATAAGTTGAAATCAACTTAAGAAAAAAATTGATAAAAATATGACAAGTTACCTTGATAAGTAGACATCAATTTCTCACTCAACAAAAAAATTGAAGAAACCTCTCTAAAAAGCATTTCTTCATAATGAGCAACTTAACTAGCGATTAACTAAAGTTAAAAGCATAATTTTATTGATTTCAAACTTTTATGTTTACAAACCAATGAAATAAGACATTATATAGCATAAACCTTACTAATTCTAATCGAATTCAAAAACTAAATCTTGGAAAAATTCTAACTACATTCTTATTTAAGATTCTAATAAGATATTAATTTAAACAAGCATAAACATAATTAAAATAAAAGTTTTCTCTTTTGATAGGTGTTGGTGTTGTGGTGACTTCTCCATGCTTTATTGTACTTGGATTTAGACTTCAATATTTAATTAATTGTTGTTAAAGAAGTTGAGTTGAAATTGCTTTAAATGGCTTCCAAATTAAAGTAGAAAACAAACTTTATTCCATGAGAGAATTTAGGAAAAAATCCAAGACAAAATCTATAAGAAAATCCAATAAGAAATCTAAGAAAAAATTTAGGAGAAAATGTAGAATTTTGTACTATGAGATGAAAAAAAAATGTATCCCGTTCAAGACTTGTAATAATAGGATTTTTCTTCTCTTATCTTAACAAGGACTTTAAATTGATAAAAGCTTTTTGTTTTGATGATGTAAACATCTCGAAATACAATCATACTTGATATGATAAGGATTCTTGAATTCTTAAGAGATTTAATTAAAGTTGAAAACTGTTCATGAGGGGTGTTTTATTTGATTGTGGAAGAATGAATAATCAAAGTATTCAAAATTTTTAGAACTCTTATTATTCATATGATTAATGTGTCTTATAAAAGATGAATGTCCAATTATGACTCACCCAAGAGGAGTAGACAGACTCTCCAACGTGAACTTGCCCCATCCCATTCAGATGTATTTAAAAAACTCAATTTGATCTGATTTGATTTAATTCTCGTTCGGTTTAAAGCCTGCAATAAGTTCCAACGATACAGATAGTTTTAGTAGATCGTAGACTTGTTTTGAAGTTCATAAATCAACCCGCTAACTAACGAGAACACTTAATTTTGTTTAAAGATACAAATTTATGAAAATGAGAGGAAATATGAATAACCCAACTAAGAAATTGTTGATAAATCTGAAATTAATCTTAATAAAAATAAAAATTTAAAGTTTGGGTTAGTTGTTGATGTATTTATATTCCCGTAAGTACATTTGCAATTTATACTTAAATGTAAAAAAGAATAAAATATAAACAATGATAGATATAAAATGTATACTTACAATATCAAGAAAAAGTGTAATTAAGGTTTCAATCAAAGATTGATCTTAATCCACGATTTCCGGACCAAAAATTCTAAAATATTATTCTTTGTACATAATATTCAACGTTTAATTTATGGCACCGAAAGTGCATAATAATAAGATATATGTATAGATTTCATAGTTAATGATCGATTCTTTTTTTAATTTTTGTTAAAAATTATTAAAATAAAATTAAAAATACATTAATTACATCAATGACGAGTAATGTCAATTCATCTGAGTACGAAATTAATTTTTTAGAGAAAACTACAATTTGATATTTTAAGGTTTTTCATATTTATACTTTTAGTTGTGGTTTGAAAATTAATGTAGCACTTTTAATTTTAATACATTTAATATGTCCTGAATTATTAATGTCTGGAATTCATATTAGTTTTTAATACATGTAAATTTCTCTAATTTTTATGTTTTTAGTTTTAGTTCATTTAGTATTTTAATGATTAAAAATCTACACTCATTCTTATGTTAAATGCTTTAAAATCTAAATTGATCGCATATATTTTTTTACTCTTACTATTTTTTTTTTAAAATATCAACTACCAATAACCACTCGAACTAAATTAAGACTTGAGGATTACTCTAGTGTCCGTAATTATGTTTGGTTTTCAAGATTGTAGTAGAATGTAGAACAAATTTGAATTATTTTTAAGTTTTATGGTACTAAAAAAGACTTGGTTTCACAAAATTTTTACTTTATATAATTTTATATTAAGCTATAGTATAAATTTTATGTTAAATGCTAAATATATTATCAAATATTACTTTCTTAAATTTTATCATTGTAAAATAAATAATATATGTCAGTATTTATTGGCTAACAACCACATCGATTAGGATGAAAATTCTTTTTTTCTCTTTAAAAAAGATAAAAGTTCTACGAGAGCAAATAATTTAAAATAAATGGGTATCCATCTAGTTATTTTTGAACCAAGATTCTCTTGTATTTAATTTTAAAAATAAATTCTAAAATAATAATATCATTTATTTTCTAAATAATAAATTTAAAAATAATGTACTAAATAAACACAAAACAAAAAATCTTTAAACACACCAATAATTTAGAACCATTATTATAAACACTACAAGTTGCACACACCATACACATACACACACATACACATGCATTGTATGCATAATCCTACAATGATACCCATAAGAAGATGTGGTAGAAAATCAAAACAGTCCATAAAAAATCTCATAAACATATATGAAACTTAATAAATAAGATCATTATCATTTTCATTATGAATATATAATATCGGTCAACTACGAAAGTTCTTTTAAAATAATGAATAATAGATAATATAAAATCAAAGAAATGAGTGGTTATTATACCAAGGATAAAGGTCCTAAATTTTGCAATAAGATTTGATTATTCAAGAAACATACATAATAAAAAGTTATGAAACACCACAATAAGTTGTTGTAAATTAATTAAATTAAGATCCCTCCCTAATTTAATTTTTTTTTTATTTTATAATTTATAAGGTGGTTTTTTATAAAAAGAAAAAAAAAATTATGAAGTTACATTGCGGTGTGAATTATGAGTTAACAAAATTTATTATGATGAGTATATATTTATGACCTAACTAATAATATTGTTTATTTGGCTTGGCACTTGTTTTGCAAGTGGATGAGAAGGACACTCATAATTAAATAAATTCTTTACATTAAATCAAATAATATAAACGTTAATTTTTTTTTTTTAGATTTATTTAAACGAGTAATAATAAAATAAACAGAAAGTATTAAATACTTGCGTCATTAAAATTTTCGACAGAAATAGTTTTTTTTCTTTTCATTTAGTTATAAAATTTTTGAGTAATTTATAAAAATTGATTACATGATTTTTATATAAACAAATTAACCGAGAGTTTGTTTGTTGATTAGTTAATTAAGTTGAAATATTATGATTACTAGATGGATGATATTCAATTGGATAAAAAAAAGAAACAAAATTAAATTGGATAAGATATGAACAAAAAGGGGCCGGGCATTGAATGCTGCTAATACGGTGATATGAAAGTCTATTATTGTTTTTTTTGATGGCCAGAGGGACACAACAGATTAGATTTTTTTTTTCTTTTTCTTTTTCATTTAATCTTCTAAAATTAAAAAAGAAAAAAGAAAAAAATTAGGGTTCATAAGTCAAATGTAGGTAAGCTTATTTAATAACTAGTGATATGAACCAGACAGAGAAGATCACTTTTTTCTAGAAACAATTCTTTGTTTCATTTTATTAGTATAGATCCATCTCTCTCTCTCTTCCCGTTCATTCATATCATTTAGGTTTTGCTACTCTAATAGTGGGCTTCCACTAAAAATGCTTAACGTAATACATCTTACTTACATGGGCTCTCTAACATGAGCTTCCACTGCTGTTGTATGTACCCTACATCTTACTTACATGGGCTCTCTAACATGAGGATTGTTGGACCAATTTTGTCAACAATATATATTCCTTTGTATATGATTTGTTTGTTTTATAATTACAAATATTTGAAAGACATACTGTTACAAAAAAAATTAAAGAAGGTAATTTTCATTTTAAGTGCCGAATTCCCAACGCCATAAGAGCACCAAAACATTTGTTTCCTCCAGACTCCCACCCATCCCCTCTCTTTCAACATAACTTCGCAAAGCAATCGTAACTGAGAGCCACCCCCAAAACTTTTATAGGGTTTCGCAGTGAACATATCGGTGACCATGTACAGAACCACAGCCTCTCGTCTCAGGGCTCTCAAGGTCAGCATCAATCCGATCCTTCTTGATCATGTTTTTCTGTATGATTATTGGGGATGATGGGGGAGGGAGAAATGATCGTCGGGTTTTTATCTTATGTGAAGTCTTAGTTTCTAAACGCACTTGAATTGTCTGCACGTTATTGAAGAGATTTGTTCTTTAGCTTGTAGATCTAGTTGGTGTTTTTGTTTTAGTATATTTAGTTATTAATTAGCGTGTTTATGGGGATTGTAAATGATTTCTCTTTCAGAATTATGTTAATCCGTGCAAACCTTTATGCATTTAGTGTTTTCGCATAAGGACATGGTTTTCGTCTGCTTGTTGCGGAAATTTCTGAGGAAGCAGTTGACCACCATTTCCACATTTCTCTTTCTAAGTCCTTTTTGATAAATGGAAACGATTGAAATAAAGCTTAATGTGACCTGACGTAATGGATTTGTTTGTCCCGGAAGTTGCTGCCGAATATCTAACCTAGAGAGATTTTAGCCTTTGCTGCAAATTGTAGTTCATATAATAACCTATAAAAAGATATTTGCAGCTTTTAAATAGAATATTGGGTCAACAACCTTAATTTCTTTATATGTTCTACTTCATGGTTGCCGCCTAAATGAAACTATGTTGTCTTATGTAATGCATTTCTACAAGTAGGGTCGTGTTGGAACTTTGGGTGCTATACGGTACGCGTCTTCAAGTGCGGTTGCTTCAAGCTCATCCTCATCTGGATTCTTTAGCTGGTTGAGTGGAGGTAGCTCTCTTCCTCCTTTAAGCATTCCACTTGATGGGGTTTCCCTTCCGCCTCCATTAGCAGACCACGTTGAACCAAGCAAACTTAAGATCACAACTCTACCAAATGGTGTTAAAGTAGCTTCAGAGACTTCACTGGTCAGTCTTAAATGTTGCAGTGTTCTTTTTTACTTTTGTTCTCTATACATTTCAAATTACAGTGTGATGCACTGCCGTGTTTGATTTCAATCATTAGTAACAAATTTTATTTGGGTGATATATCAGAATCCTGCAGCCTCAATTGGTTTGTATATTGATTGTGGTTCTATCTATGAGACGTCAATTTCATGCGGAGCCACACATTTGCTGGAAAGGATGGCATTCAAGAGTACAAGAAGTAGGAGTCATTTGCGGATTGTTAGGGAAGTGGAGGCAATTGGAGGTAACACATCAGCCTCAGCCTCTAGAGAGCAGATGGGTTACACTATTGATGCTCTGAAAACCTATACCCCTGAAATGGTAGAACTGCTTATTGATTGTGTGAGAAATCCAGTGTTCTTGGATTGGGAAGTTAGTGAAGAGGTAATTTTTTTTCTGATCATACTCCAGAAAGTTAATAATACATTATTTCTGGAGTTATTAAAATAAAAAATCTACATTGCCTTTCTATTCCCTTTGAAAATTTTTTATTTGTTTATGTCCTTTGGCTATCTGGTGAATGATTTTTGTTATAGTCCTTCAATCATCATAGTAAAGAAGCCCTTTCCTTATTCCGCCTATCCTCAAAAAATCCCACCCTACCTTTTGATCTAATAATACACTACATGCTTAGTATTGGGTTCTCCTACTAGCAAGGGAAATGGCCGATGTCTCAAAAAAAGGGAAATAGCCGATGTCTGTTTGGACGCTGCCCCATTGTGTTTCAAGAATATTGTTTGATATCAAGTTTATTCAATGTGCACCATTTTTTTTGTGGATGACTTTTAGTCTCATTATCAAATCAGTGGTTCACTATTGTAAATTTCTGTCTTTCTATCTGAGCTAGTTTTTTGTTCCCAGGCTAGATTTTTTTGGTTTGCTTCCCCTCCTCTCCTCATGCCAGTTTTCCCTTAGAGGTTTTTAGTGACTGAGTTCAAGTCTTTTAACATTGCTATTGAGGGTGGAGCTGTTTATCTGGTGAAAGTGTTTGAGAATGGGAGGCACTTGTTCTTTATTGTCTTGAACGTTTTGAAGTGGAGTGGCTTCTCGGTGCTCTTGGTGAGTTCTATTGGGGGGAGAGTGAGAGCTCATAGGTGAGAAGTTTGAAGGAATGGAAGAACATTCTCTAGCATGCTTTGGGGTTGAATAGAGGGGAAGTTGCTAGCTCTCATTGAAAAAGTTGGGGGAGTCATGCCTATAGAATATTCATTTTGAAAGGCTCCTTAGTTGATGGTTGTTAGAAGTTCACAAAAGTTTTTGTTAGGTATTGAGCAAGGATGTGATGTCACATGCTCTTTTTACGTGACAAAAAATAGTTACTTCTATGCCAAAGTCTAATTATGTCTCCTTCTGGGGTTCGGTGCTAGATCAAGCTGCAGTGGTGGGTGAATCATTCTTGCTCTGATTACAAATAATCACCTATGATCTCTATTATCGTTGTGGCTAATGGAGGGCAGAGGACACTAGCATTCATTTACAGAAGTCGTGAACAGCCTAGCTTTAAAGAAGGGGCCAAATCCGAGGGCTGGGCCTGTTTTAGTTAAATCCAAAAGCAGTAGGCTTGCTACTACAAATAAGGATAAGTGGCTTAAAGTAAAAAGGCCCAAGAAGAGACAAATAGGGAAGAGGTTTGGAGTTCCTTCAAGTAGGCTAGGTGGTGGCTTGGTTATCAAAGACCTATTCTAAGGGTTCTGTGAAGAACAGTCCTAATCATATTTGTCGTCACTGTCTTCTTCAGATTGACTAGAGTTGGTGATTGTGCTTACTTTTCTATGTTGAGACGGGGAGCCATAGCCTTCAGTTACCTCCTTTTTTTTTGAGTTGGAGGAACTACTGGCTCCTGTGGATTTGTGGCTTCTCTTAGAAGGTTGGAATGGAAATGATTGTGAAGGTAATCATATTTTGCCTCTGTTTACGGTTTATATTGAGCACCATCAATACCTTAGTGGAAAGGAGTGATGAAAGGGAAGAAAGAAATCTGGGTGCAGTTCTTCCGGTGGAATTTGCACAAGTTAAAGCCTACCAATAGGTTATGAGAAATATTACAAGGATTAATAGGCTATTGGGAGATGGTTTTGGTGAATTTAAGGACCAAGGTATTAATTTGTTTTAGTCTGTTGAGGGAAGCCAGAGGGTGAAGAGCGCGGTTAAATTCCCAAGTTGACAGGGAAAGAAGAAGCCGATGTGGATTGGCAGGGGAACTCAAAAGGGTTCTAAGGGAGGGTTTGATATTGATTCCTTAAATAAAAAAATTTCTTGGAATATTAGGAGTTTGAAGAATTAAAAGAAGTGATAGATCATGAATGATTTCTTGTCCAAATGGAGGCCAGATATGGGGTGGAAGGACATCCCCTTCTTTGGTATGCATGATTATTTTATGGGATGAAAGCAAGGTAGAGTTGGTGGTCTGGTGTAGCAGGGGTTTGCTTAGTCTATTGTCTTTTGAAAAGTTGGGTTGTGGGTTGGTGTTGGGTGTTCAATGCGTCTTATGGTAGCAGGAGGATAGGAGAGGGAAGGGTTCTAAAATGATCTTGAGGAGACTTTTGGGAGGTGGTATTTCCCTTGGGTGGTTGGGACTGACTTCAGTATGTTATCTATGCCAATGAGAGATTAGAGAAGTATATCTTTAAAGGGCAGTGAGGAGTTTGTGACATTTTGGTGGACTCAATCTCATTGACCTTACCTTTTTTCAACTGGGAGATGGACTTGGTCAGTTCAAGGTAGAAATCCATTTTTTTAATTTACATATTTCTGGAATTGACATGTGTAGAGGCTATACAAGCAGCCAATCACTGTAGCTAAATCTTGATCGCTTGAACTTTGATTCACTGGATAAGCAGGAGAAGCCTTGGTTGGGAAGATCCTTATATGGGGAGGAAATTCTTGAAGCCTTGTCTAGGTGTAACAGGGATAAAACCTCAGAGCTGGATGGTTTCTCCATTGCCTTTTTGTAAAAGAGTGAGGTGACTTCAAGAGACTTGTTTGCCTTATTCTTTGATTTATTTGAGAATGGGTGTTTCCTTGAGTATAAACTCCATTTACTTTGTCCAAGTCCCTAAAATTGAAAGTGCCTTGGATGTCAAAGATTTTACAACAATTAGCTTGGTGAGTTGTGTCTACCCTTGAGTTCCTCAATTTAAGTTGGGTGATGATAGACTATGGCTAAAGAGATATGTGCCTGCAGGTCACCTAAGGTGATATGCGTAGAAGAAAACTCATCTCTTATTTAGTTTATATAGAGGAAAAGTAAGGAGTGCTTTTGAAGGCTTAGTTTTTCCCTTTAGTAGCCCTAGGGATTTATGGCTCCCAGACCTTAGGTGTTTTTGTTTTGTGTAATCATTTTAAATGATGGCTTGGGTACCTTATTGACGTTCCAATTGATTTGTAAAGGTTTTGTCCTGTGGTGGTACCTAGGTGCTTTATTAATATGTATTTCATACCACTTCTCTTGTAAAAAAAGGATCAGTGATTTGTGATTCCTTTTAATCTAAATGTGTTTTTAGTATTCTTATGCCCTTTCTTCTTTGTTAACAAGAGTTTTCACTTCTAATTATTAATACATGTCACCATTAAATGTCATTTGATTAGATAAGGTGAAACATATTGGTGGCAAATACAGTAATCATAAACCATTTTCATTCCATGATTACTTTCACTAATGTCAGAGTCCGTACCAAATTCAGATTTCATGACAAACACGCCAGTTTTTTGAGCACAAGGTTATATACTTTTGCAGTTGAAAAAGGTAAAAGGAGAGTTGGCAGAAGTTTCAAACTATCCTCAGGGCTTACTGTTGGAGGCGATTCACTCTGCTGGTTATGCTGGTGCTTTGGCAAACCCTCTTTTTGCACCTGAAGCAGCGCTTCATAGATTAGATGGCAGCATACTGGAGGATTTTGTTTCTGTAAGAACAAGTGACCTTGTGAATTCTATAAACTTGTTCCTGTTGTGTTGCATCTCTTTTAATATTTAAATCATATTTACTTACCTATTTCTTTTGTTTCCCACTTTCTGTTCGTTTTTATTTTGGTGGAACAATAATTAATTTGAAAATTTCAGGAGAATTATACTGCTCCACGGATGGTCCTTGCAGCATCTGGAGTTGATCATGAGGAACTCCTGAAAGTAGCGGAGCCACTTCTTTCTGACCTTCCTCAAATATCTCGTCCAGAAGAACCGAAGTCTGTTTATGTTGGAGGAGACTATCGTCGACAAGCCGATTCACAGGTGTGTATAATTAGTCCCTTAGATTGACGAGTTTACTGGTATATTCTACACTTTGTTTCCCCTGGTTAAAGTGGAGGAGGTAAAACAAGGTCTTTTGCAATATTTCAGTTGTTATCCATCATATTGTTAAGATGCTATTTTTCTAATTCGTTGTCAGAGTACACATATCGCTCTTGCTTTGGAAGTGCCTGGAGGCTGGCATAACGAAAAAGGAGCTATTACTTTGACCCTCCTTCAGGTGCATAATTTTCTTCATGAACTTAATGCATTTTGTATCATGTACTTGTTTCCTCATTATTATGGAGTTATCATTTGAAAAATCGCAAAATTCCTCTCTCTCGTTGCTTAACATTGGTTGTTTTCTTTGTTGACTGGTTATTTTCTTGCTACATCATACCTAATGGATTAGCCGTAACAATTCTGGTTGTCCTGCAGTTGCTTATGGGAGGAGGTGGTTCATTTTCTGCAGGCGGGCCTGGGAAAGGAATGCATTCACGGCTCTGTAAGTTTGGTGTAATCTGCTCCGTCATTATCTGTTCTGTATAAGTTCTTACTAACCTATGCATGCCTATCTGTCAATAGTATTGGTTCAGACTGAAAATTGCAATTCTCTTTTTTATTACTTTGAATAGATATTCTTTTTTATATGATGGCGAACCTATTCTTTTACTATTATTTTTATTTTTTGTATCTTGATATTTATTTCTTCCGTTTGGATGCAGATCTTAATGTCTTGAATGAGCATCAAGAAATTCAATCATTTTCTGCATTCAACAGTATCTTCAATAAGACTGGATTGTTTGGCATCTATGCGTGCACTGTAAGGGACATCATCTACTCATACCTTTTCCTATTTCTTGGTCTTCCTCTGCATTTAGTAGTGAAATATGCCAAAACATATTAGTGGTGTTTGTGGATAATTGTTTATCTGTGTGTTTCATTTACTTGTTTGGTATTCTTGCATTGATGTGAGAGATTACCAGAAGTATTTATGGGATATGTATATATAACAGATTTTCTCTTGATAGTTTCCTATCATATTTTCAAATGCATTTATGGCACTGAAAAGTTAGGTAACTAATTAATTAATTGCTTCCACTTGCAATTACTCTAACATGGGGGATGTTTGCTTTATGGATGCAGAGCTCTGATTTTGTGCCAAAAGCTGTTGATTTGGCTGTACGGGAACTGATAGCAGTGGCATCACATGGGCAAGGTTTGTTTTGATTTGCCTTGTTTTGTGCTGTTCCATGGGGTTATATTTTTAGTACAGAAATTTACCATGTTTTCATTTTTCTTTTAATTTCCTAGCTGTTCCTTCCCAGCTCCCTTCTGTCGTCATCCAATTTTCATTTGGCTTTCAAAAAGCTACATTTTCTTATTTTCTGTTTTCATCTGGGCAGTTAGCAAGGTACAACTTAACCGTGCCAAAGAGTCGACAAAATCTGCTGTTCTCATGAATCTTGAATCCAGAGTACTCTCTCTCTCCCTCTATATCTCATAGTTTTACTTTTTCTTTTCCTTGATTAAAAAAATATAACTTAGTTATTTGAGGTTTACTCTGTAATTATATTTTTAAATTCTCATTGTCTTTATTGGACCACTGTTTTTGCAGATGATTGTGGCAGAAGATATGGGAAGACAGATTTTGACATATGGAGAGAGGTATTTGTAGAGAGCAGTCTTTTTTGATCCCTTATCAAAGATTTTTATAAATAATTTTCCTGTAAAAATATTTTAGTTACTGGTTTTATTTACAAACGAGCTCATCCGAAGCGCAAATGAAGCCACTGCTAACTGCATTTATACAGTAGTGATTTAACTGGTTTTATTTACAAACAAGCTCATCCCATGCGCAATGAAGCCGCTGCTAACTGCATTTATGCACTGATTTCAGGAAGCCGGTAGAACAATTCTTGAAGGCTGTAGATGAAATCACTTTGGAGGACATAACAAGTCTTGCCAGCAAGATCATTTCTTCGCCTCTAACAATGGCATCTTATGGAGATGGTAATTATTTGATCATGGACTATGAGTTTATTTTTTGTTGTAAACTAATTCGTGAGTAACTTGTCGCTTCTTCTGTTGCAGTCTTAAATGTGCCGAGCTATGAATCTGTTAGCAGCAAGTTTCATGCAAAATGAGATCCTGTAGACATTTGTAGTTTGCTAATCGCAACTTTTTTAAAGAGCAGGAGGCTGTTTCCATACCATTTTTAGGTGTTGGAAGCTGTGAAATAAAAAAGTTGAAGAAGGTTGGGTGGATAAAATGGAAAAGTGATCCATGCATGACTTAATTTGTAACTTGCAAAATGAATGCATGAAATTTTGAATAGTTTCATTTATTGTTGACTCCCAAGCTACTAAAGACTTCGGGACAGCTTTCCTTTGCAACGTGAAAAATAAATTCAGTTTTTGAGGGGATAAATTTGTCAAATGCTTTTGACTTTTTGCTTATTCATCGTTGAATTTTAAGAATGATACGGATTTTGATTCCTGTATGTTTAAAAATGATTTAATAGATATGGGACTTTTGTGTTTTAATTAATCTGGGTTAACAAAAGAGTTGATGTTAAAACCAGTTTGGACAAGACTCATTTGAAATCTGTAACTTATTTTATTTTATTTTTTTAATTCAAATGAAATAAATCGAACTGGGTCAAACTGTTAATGTTTTTATTTATTTTGTTTTTTTTTGAAGTTTAAAATGTCATTTCGGTAGACTAAAATAGTTTTAAGTCAGGTCTTGTAGAAAGGACATCCATTATAAAATAAAAGTACCCAGCCCAATTGCAGGTACGGGCTCTTCTTCTGACTTTTTATTAGTCTCTGATTAGGGAAAACAAGAGGAGGGAGTGAAGAATTGATAGAGAAATTTATGAAATTAATTCAACTAAATAAATATATATCTACATATATTTGAGATTAAACTTCGACAAAGAAAATAGAGGAGTGGGAGAGAAGTTCCTTCTTTATTTTTTCGTTTCTGCATTTTCCTCTTCCTTTTTTTTTTTTTTTTTTTTGTTTCTTATCTTCTCCTCAATATTTTCTTAATCTCTCATGTCATGTACTGGAGAGAAGTAGAATAAACGAAGATTGATTAAAAAACAGAGTATCAAAGAAGACAAACATTGCCAAGCAGACGTATCCGACCGTGGGAGCTTTTAAAGTTTTGATTTTGAGCAGAGCAGAGAAAAATTAGAGAGGAAAGCTGAGTGTTTTAGGGAGTTTTTTGAACCCAAATAGAGGTATGTCACTCACCTCTTCCTTGTTGAGCATCCATTTGGGTAAATTGTTAAAGCACCCCTCTTTTATAAGCTTCTTACCTAAAAAGAAAATTGACTTCCTCTTCAATACTCTTTTTTTATTTTTTATTTTGTAAAATCTTATGAATGGACCTGATATTAAGTATATGTTGATGTAAATAATCATGTGTGTTGTTCCTGGTTATACATTAAGTTAATTTATTCATGAAAAATTTTTGTTTTACAATTGAGCACTAACAGTGTGGCAAAATGCTCAAAAGGATATGAGCTGTGAAATTCTTATT